TAAACATCTTAAAGTAAATAACAATAAACAATAGCCCTTAACCCTGTAAGGCCCCCGGTTGTAATTTTACAACATTACTTTAAGCTATCCTAAAAAAGTCAGTAAATGTTTTTTTTTTTTAAAAGACTACATTTACATAGTCAAAAGGTCCTTTTGTTCAGCCTCACAATGCTATTGGGTAGTAAATGTGTTTATAGGTCCTGCCCTCTGGCCATACACACCAGGGATTTTGGGCCCCATGAAAATATATCACATTGGGCCCCACCACCAGGCACAGGCCACGCCAACCAAGCACAATTGCTGTAACCACACCTCCAGAACCCAACCGACTCATTTATGCTTTAAAGTGGACCTATCATGCTATATTTAAATGATATATTGTAGGGCCATACCTATATAAGGTATATTTATACGTTTCTGTTTTCAAAATACCAAACAGATCATGCATTTTAGCCATGCCTCATTTCGCTCTATGTGCTGTTTGCTGTCTACGGGGCTGATCTCTGTGAGCTGCAGCTGACCACGCCCCCCCTGCAGGAGAGGGAAGCCGTGCTCTGATCAAGTCAATAGGGAGAGAAAAAAAGATCTCCGTCCTCCGTGTTTTATTTATATATACAGTCTATGGTTTTATTATATTATTATAGGCCTATAGAGTCGTTATTCATTTGTTTTAAAGCTCAATAAATAACAAAGAAGACCTTTGACCGGCACTTTTCTAATTTTGTCCGGAAGATTTCAACTTTAACGGACATCTTGACCGGCGAAAGAAACTGAAACTCTGCCGCACGGTCCCCTCGTTCCTTGGAAGAGGCGGAGAGGTGGGTGTTTGTCATCTGCTGGTGGACTAACCGGAGAGAATTACAGTGCTTGCCTCGATGGGGAGGGATTGCATTGAATTAAAGCAGCGGGAGCAAACGCTTGCCTCGGGGAGGGAGAAAGAAAGCCACAGCGGAGAATAAACAGAAGGGTAACCATGGTAACTATGGGCGGGAAGTCTTCTTCGCTGCTTTTGTGGCAGACTACAGCGCCACTTACAGGCCTGGCATATGTACTACAGCGTCTCCAGCGCTTTCGAGCGGCAATGGCCGGCCGTGGCCCAACCCCACATTCCCCTGATAGGTGGAGAGTTGGCCCAATAGCCGTAGCGCCACTTCTGTGACGACATAGAAGTGTTCAAATCTGGATCAGTCTGTATCAGATCCGTTGCAGCCCCTTTTTTAGAGATTTGGGTATGGAGGAAAATAGAGAGGGTTGTGTTTTCTGACACTTGGTGAGTTCCCTGGAACACCGGGGACACATATTCATGTATAAAAGACGTACAAAAGTGCATTTTGCATGATAGGTCCCCTTTAAATGAATTGTAAGTTTAGTGAGTACATTATCGATGTAACGTCCTATTAATGTTAATTCTTGATGAATGATGAAAGGTTACTTAAACATTTTTTTCTTAATGTTCCAAAATAGTTTGGGCCCCCGTGGTGAGGGTGTTTGGGGTGGCCAATAGGGTGGCCAGGATTCAGCTGGGGGTGGCCACGGCCACCCCCTGCCACCCCCCAGCTCCGCCACTGCTTATGGGTAGAGCCAACAAAGTGATGTTCCTTTTCCTCTATAGTCACATGGCTCTAGACATTACATTACATTGCATTTAGCTGATGCTTTTATCCAAAGCGACTTACAATAAGTGCATTCGACCAAGAAGATACAAGCTTGAAGAAAACAGAATTATATAAGTACACAGTATAGCAAACCGACGTGTTTTTGCTGATGGGAACTTGGGTCCCCCTCGCAGTGCGGGTGCAGCGAGCCGTTTGGCTGATGCAGAGCGGAGTGCACGTGCTGGGGTGTATGGTTTAACCATGTCCTGGATGTAGGAAGGGCTAGATCCATTCGCAGCATGGTACGCAAGTACCAGTGTCTTGAAGTGGATTCTAGCAGTTACTGGAAGCCAGTGAAGGGAGCGGAGGAGCGGTGTGGTGTGGGAACATTTTGGAAGGTTGAAGACCAGACGAGCCGCTGCATTCTGGATGAGCTGCAGAGGTCGGATGGCACATGCAGGTAGACCAGCCAGGAGGGAGTTGCAGTAGTCAAGGCGTGAGATGACGAGAGCCTGGACCAGAAGTTGCGTCGCTTTCTGGGTCAGGAGGGGAAGTATCCTCCTGATGTTGTATAGCGTGTATCTGCAGCAGCGGGTTGTAGCAGCGATGTTTGCAGTGAAGGACAGTTTGTTATCTAGGGTCACACCCAGATTCCTTGCAGTCTGAGTCGGGGAAACAACAGAGGGGCCGATGTTGATTGTTAGGTCAAGAGTGGGACAATCTTTTCCAGGAAGAAAAAGCAGTTCATTCTTGTCAAGGTTGAGCTTGAGGTGGTGAGCAGACATCCACTGAGAGATGTCCGCTAGACAAGCAGAGATGCGTGCGACGACCTGGGTTTCAGAACGGGGAAAAGACAGAATTAATTGGGTGTCGTCAGCGTAGCAGTGGTATGAAAAACCATGTGGGCTAATGACTGATCCGAGCGAGTTTGTGTACAGAGAGAAGAGGAGGGGACCAAGGACAGAGCCCTGAGGGACCCCTGTAGTTAATTGACAAGGGTCAGACTCGGACCCTCTCCAAGTTACCCTGTAGGTGCGTTCTTCGAGGTATGAGGTGAGGAGGGAAAGTGCAGAGCCTGAAACTCCAAGTTCTTGGAGAGTGTGAAGGAGGATCTGATGGTTCACCGTGTCGAATGCAGCAGACGGGTCCAAAAGGATGATGACAGAGGAGAGGGAGGCTGCTTTAGCAGTGTGCAGTTCCTCAGAGACAGCAAGGAGAGCAGTTTCTGTGGAGTGACCTGCCTTGAAACCAGACTGGTGCGGATCCAGAAGGTTGTTCTGATGGAGATAACAGGAGAGTTGTTTAAAGACAGCGCGTGCAAGTGTTTTAGACAGGAATGAGAGGAGAGAGACAGGCCTGTAGTTTATAACATTGGACGGGTTGAGAGTGGGTTTCTTTAGGAGAGGGTTTACTCTTGCCTCCTTGAGACTGTTTGGAAAGTGACCAGAAGTTAGAGAAGTGTTGATGAAATGGGTGAGAGACGGTAGAATATCAGGAGCGATAGTCTGAAGGAGGTTTGAGGGGATAGGGTCCAGAGGACAGGTGGTAGGACGGGCAGAGGTAATGAGGGTAAGAACCTCACTTGGAGAGAGAGGGGAAAAGGAGGTTAGTGTGTGGGTGAAGGGAGGGTCTGGTGACCCAGTGGTGAGTAAAGGTGAGTCGGAAAAAGAAGAGCGAATATCATCAACCTTTTTTCAAAGTAGTTAACAAAGTCGCTTGGAAGAAGGGAGGAGGGGGAAGGGGCTTTGGGGGGTTCGAGGAGGGTGGAGAAGATAGAAAATAGTTTTTTGGGATTGGAATAGGAAGAATGGATCTTATCTTGAAAGAAAGTGCTTTTTGCCTGAGAGATTGAAGATGAGAAAGAGGAGAGGAGGTTAGGAGGTTGTCAGGGTGTTTGGATTTCCACCATTTGCGCTCAGCTGCCCGAAGGATGGTTCTATTAGCACGCAGTGCGTCATTTAGCCAGGGAGCAGGAGGGGACTGACGAGCCTGCCGAGATGTGAGAGGACAGAGAGAGTCCAGAGAGGATGAAAGAGTCGAGAGGAGAGTTTCTGCAGCAGTTTGGAGGCAGGAGTTGGAACGAGTCAGATGAAGGGAGGGCTGAGAGCACCGATGAGGTAAGAGTAGAGGGGGAGAGGGAACGAAGGTTACGGCGGACAGGTGCAGAATGAGAAGAGATTAGTTTGTTATGTTTGGAAAGGGGTAGAGAGAATGAAATTAAGAAGTGATCGGATGTGTGAAGCGGGTTTACAGAGAGGTTAGAAGTAGTGCAGTTCCTTGAGAATATGAGATCAAGGACATTGCCAGCTTTATGAGGTGGTGGGGACGGAGACAGTGAGAAAGCAAAGGCGGTTAAAAGAAATGTTAATTCAGATATCTTCTCTGTCTGGAGGTTGAAGTCTCTGAGAAGTACAGTGGGAGGGCCAGTTTCAGGGATGTGTGAGAGGAGATGATCTAATTCCTCCAAGAAGTCCCCCAAGGCGCCTGGTGGACGGTAGAGAACAACAATGGTTAATTGTATAGGATGGGTTACAGTAACAGCATGGAATTCAAAGGTGGAAGGAGTAAAGTTAGGTAGTTTGAAGAGGGAAAAGCTCCATTTGGGAGAGAGCAGGAGACCAGTGCCACCTCCTCTGCCAGTGGGTCTGGGTGTATGGGTGAAGGAATATGCTGTGGAGAGAGCTGCTGGGGTGGCTGTGTTGGATGGAGTAATCCAGGTCTCAGTGAGAGCAAGGAAATCCAGAGACTGCAGGGAGGACCTAGACCTATTGAACCCTTCTTCAGCAACTCTAAATGAATGCAAGATGTCTTTTAAGTGTTGAGTTGTTTCAACCAATTTATGGCATTAAGAAACAGTTTTCCATATCAGTTAGATTTATTGACAGTATTGTTGGAAAAATAATTAACATTCTGATTTGTTTGAATGTTAGAGGTTAGAAAACTAAGATATGTTTACTGCTTTTATTTCAGTATATTACAATGCACTTACAATAATTGTTCAGGAGCTGATTTTCATTCTACATTAAGTTTGAAATAAGCCATATCTCCATTTACCTTAAGGTTTTTGTTAACACCCTTTGTGAACCTGGCAAACATGAGACTCTGGTGTGGAGTGTAGGTGGACCGAGAAGAGAAACACATCCATTAAAACATCGGATTAGCAGTCATCAGTACATTAGTACAATATTTTTAACACCATTACTTATATTGTGGTTTGTAATCTCAAATGTATACCTTAACCTCTGGGTTTTTTGTTTGGAATTAAATAGACCTACAATAAATGTGGTGTTAAAACACAGATTGAATTAAAAAAGTAATTAGTTAAACATTCCATTACACTTGATGTTGATTCCCAAAACCTGGCACTAAGTATTGAAGGCCTCTTTGAAAATAATTGGTCCAGCACGTCATTAAAAGCACTTTTTATTTACACAGTAATATGTAGAAGTGATTTAACAGTAAGCTCGTGGGAAAGGGTCATGACAGAACAAACGCGTATTAAGACTAAAAAACAAGTTGAACTTTTCTCACATCACATTAATAAGCCAATGCAAACACAAAAGAGAAAAGAAAACTAAAGACAACATTGTTGAACTCAAATACACTGTTTGTCAATCATATTGGGAACATACAAACATCAGAATCAGTCCCTGAGGTGTTCTTTAACAAAGCCCAGAGAGCACTTTAATACACACTTTTATCCCAGAATAGATGTTTTAAAGGTATTTCCACTGAATAAAAATACATTTCAGTCAAACATTATAAAAACGCTAAAGAGCATCCACTGGCAGAAGGTGCACTCTATCTATGAAAATCTATGAACACATACACCTGTTCCAGATAGTTATATGACTGATGAACTCAGTATCTTCCTCACAGGCTCTGATCTGAGCTTTGATGACACAGGGTTGTCATTGTTAAATTAAAATGAATACATTTAAATGTCATAATCTGGGAAAACAAAAAAACAAAATTGGGGGAAGGCTACTTTTAGTGCAGCAGTATTCATTATTCACATACCCAGATTGCTCTTCCCTTGGCATACACAGTATACAGATGTGACTTCCCTCTAAAAATAACACATTCATCATTCCTACAATGTAACATCATCCAGGATTGCTGACAAACTGATGTTATTAACAATATCTCCCAGAGCCAACCTTTTTTCAATTTCTCTTTTCAAGAGCTGAAAAGTTTAACAATGATCATGAACTGACATGATAAAGAAAGAGTCAAAGCTCTGCAGAATAACCCTGGTGTAAGCAGATGATCATATTGGCAGGAAATGAAAAAGGAGATTTCAAAGGTAAAAACCAATACGAACCTAAAGCTTAAAACAAGTTGAAGCTTTCAGGGAAAACGTCTTCCCTTTTTTTTTTTTTTTAAATGGTAGATATGGTGATGGTCTTCACTTCTTGAAAACAAGACATGGTTGTGAGCAAGAAGTCGGGGCAGGGGGTTGATTGTGCTTGACTGAGCCCTCAGCTGTCAATCATCTCTGAGAGTTCCTGCAGCAGGTCATCCTCTTCGATGCCAGGGTCCATGTCTCCCTCCAGATGGTCGTCGGTAAACTCGTTTATCAGCTCCTCAAAGTCATCCACGGCGGAGGTGGAGGCAGCAGTGCTGGAGGTGGAGGTGGTGCGGGCTGCGCTCAGTCTCCGTGACTTTGGCTGTGTGGGGGACTTCAGGACTGGGCTGAAGGTACAGAAAGGCCTGTTATTTATGTAATATGCGGGAAAACAATAATCTAACCATTTTCAATGGGATTGTCAGATATAAATGGGCAAAGATACAGTATTTATAACTGAAATACATTACTTAATAGAAATTGACTTATTATTACTTATTGTGTTATTTGGAAAAGTTGTCAAAAACGTTTGACATTTTGTTGCCTTATGAGAGCATTAAACACTGATGTATTTGTTAAATAAAATGCTATGTAATGTAGCAGACTGGACTGGTTGCTCTTAACCCTTTGGAGTCGACCGTCACGCCGGCGTGATCAGATCACATGACCAACATTGCCGTGTGTTTCCGTCGAAAGTATTGGCTTGAAACTATATGCCAGTCTTTGTTTCATGCAAAAAGACCCAGTAAACACGGAGATACGATGATATAAAGTTAATACAAATATATTTCAAAAGTATAAACAATGGAAGCACATATTTTAATATCTTCGCCGCATTTTATCATTTTACGAAACGGAAAATACTGGAAACTGTAGATCCTGCTCAACAGGATGTATTTACCAGGGAGGGGGTGAGGTAATCAGGTAAACGGAGTGATACGTAACGAGACGAAAAGAGACGAAGAGGGACGGCGGGAACCGAAGAGAGACGGCGGGAAATGGAGAGAGACGAAGATATACGAAGAGAGACGGCGATTGAAGTAAAGTGACAGACAAACATTGAGAATTTAAATATAGTTAGATAGATTTAGAGTTTTGAAGATTCAACTATGATGAAGAGAACTCTGAACGTGAGTCAAGCTATAAGCTTGTTTTTTGACATGGAGGAGGAGGAGCCTGTGATGTTGCCCTCTGTGTCGTAGTTGACAGAAACGGCTTTGAAGCGTGGCACAGATAAAGACAGAAAAAAATGATTTTGTACATAATGTGTATATATATATATATATATATATATATATATATATTTGTATTATATTTATAATAACACTTTTGCCTTATCAGAATTAAATCCAATGTACATTATTTAAGCTTTTAAATGTTTTGTTGTGCCTACTGTGTCACTGTTGACAGAACTTGAGAAATGAGGAAAAAACGCCTATGGATACACCTGTTATTTGTTCATAAAATGTGTATATAGGTTTATGCTACCTCCATCAAACTTTCACATTATCATAGTGACATCCCATGTATATATTTCCAGCTTTCAAATTGTTTCGTTGTGCATGTTTGTGTTACCTATATCAAAAATAATATCATTTTCAAAATCCGTTTTTACGTTTGTTTGAGATTTTGGGTCCAAAATGTTCATATAGTATCTCAAAATGAAAGAAATAACTATCAGGTTATATAGGTGAGGTTGTCCTTAAAAAAAAGATACCAAACATTGACATGCCAAACATTTCTTAATGGGGACAAATCAAAAGTATGCGAAAACGGCCAAATTAGCCCAGGACTCCAAAGGGTTAATCAGAATGTCACACCCCTCACTTTAGGAGAGATAAAATACTTAAATTCACGTGAATACAAGTTGTAAATAAAGTTGTTATCACAGTTACAAATGGTTCCTATAATGTTAATATTATCATATCACTCCTGACGCCTGCCCACAGACATTTGCTTGGTGAAGTCTTACACTACCAGTCTGAGCTTTACCTTTGGGGGACGGTACAGGCGTCTCTGACAGCCTGTGGGGTCTCTTGGCTCTGTGTGAACACTGGGACAGTCTGGAGCTCCTCTGTCAGGGGGCTGCAGCCCGACCCTAAGTCTAGTAGGGTGCTGGGACTGCGGGGGACAGCAGCGCTCAGCTGAGCCTCTGCATTGGACTGAGGGGACTCCTGAAAATGGATCAAAAGTAACCATAGGTCATTACATGCACAAGGTTGTTTTGATTTCCCAACAGACTGACATCACACAGAAACTGTAATTATTTCCCCCTTAAACTTCAATAACAAAGCCGAATAAAAAAAAAAAAGGACCAGATATACCAGAGACGATTATTAAGACCAACACTGTTAATGGGCATAGCAAATCACTTAGAAATGCATTAAGGACATGATGAGAAGAAATGCATAAATAAAATGCAAGTATTAGAAATAACTTATATAAATACGTGAATAAAAAAGATGAATGCGAATAAAAATACAAGAGGAAATATATAGGAATACAAAAGCAAAAATGGAACATGCCAAATCAAATTCTTTAAGATACGTTATGGCCAGGGATGCACATAACTTTCTCAGTGAGGTACTCAGATGAGTACCTGGAGTCAGTGTTTGGTACTCCAACTTCTGGCTCCCCTCGAAGTTATTTGATGAAGCCCTCTGTATCGCGAACGTCAACGGGGGGGGGGGCTAGTGGAGTACTTCGTGACCACAGAGCGTGAACGTTGTGATCAGCTGTTTTAGCGCAGTTCTCCAGTGAAGGGGGGGAGTCTCCCTCCGCAGCCGGTTGGCGTAGTTTTGGCACAATTCCGTTGTACAGACCGACGTTAACAGCAGCCCTGTCTGTGCACACGGAGACCGACTCGTCGGTACGCAAATGCGCTTTGTGACAGTACGCATTTCAAATTGTTGCCCGCGCATGCATACCAGTTATGTGCACCCCTGGTTATGGCTATAGCAACTAGTTACTGGCGCGTGTAAACCTACCTGTCTGTCTCTGCATGCTGTCTCCTGCCGGGGCCCCTCCTGCACTGCGGGGCCGCTGTTCAGGGGTTTAACAGCAGCAACAGCAGAGCGCTGCGTCCCTCTTCTCTTCTGGCCTGGTTTCAGCTGCACTGCAGGCTTCATGACAGACGGCTTCACATTCAGCTTTGGCCTCACTGAAAGGGAGACAAAAGTTCCAGTCACAGTGTTTTGTAGCCCTTTCCACCTGTGCAGAGGATCTGCCACACACATGTTCTTGTCTACAAACCCTGTTTGAGGTCCAGCTATTCCATGACCAAACCACCAGGTTCCTTAAAATCCCATACCACAATTAAGCCGTCATGTCTAACCCCGGGATTCCACCGGGTCCGTCTGCGCCGCGGTTTTGTTCCGACCTCCTACAGCGGCAAACCCCACCGGGCGCGTTTCAGGAGTGGAGCGTCTTGCGTGCCGGCTCGCAGTTTTTGTTGATTTGGGCATATTTCTTGGACAGGCTACTTTGTACAGACAAAGTTAATAATAATTGTAATAGTCCAGTTATAAACGACATGAATCAAAGATGTGTTGCTGTATTTTAGTGGCAAAAAAATGCATTCATCATCATAATTATTCTATATATATAATTGACACAGTGCCTGTAAACCGGAGGAGAACGCTGGCATTTCTCCTCCTACTTGAAAGACTACGGAGGGATAGGGTCTGCAAAATTAGTCTACTTTGGGGATTGACTGGATGCTCTGACCGGTCCACTTCCTGCCCGGCGCTATTGCAGCCGCCTATTTTTAGCGGAGCCCAGCGCCGAGACGCTTCTGGGACGCAACGCAGCGCATCTGGTGGAAACACACACATTGACTAGAGTGGCCGCGATTGAGGTGAACGCCGCAGCGCAGCCGTAACGTGGTGCAGACGGACCCGGTAGAATACAGGGGTTAGGTGGGTTCCTGTTGTGGCAAAGTTGATCTTCATATGAAGTAAAGTATAAATGTATTATTTTATTGTCATCCGTTTGGTATTTTCAAAGGCCTCAGAATCTTTCACACTTAGTGTGCCGTACGTGAGTTGACTGGTTGTCTGTGTGAGTTAAGCCAAGATGAAGATTTGGTAGTTATTCCTTACTGCAATTTGTCTGAACCAATGGTTACAAATAGTAACGATGGGATCATACAACTGAATAAGCTTAAATAAATCAGATATTACTTCAAGCTTTGATATGACTGAATCCAAGCTGTACCGAGACCTTCTCTGTGTGAAGTGTTATTATAATATTTAAGGAAGGATCACTGAAGCTCTAGGCTCAAGCAGAAACATGGCTGCAAAAGAAAGTATATGTTACAGTTAAAGATAAAATACCTTTAGTGTTTGCAGTGTGTTCTGGGGATTTCTGATAATTGTTCAGTGTTATATCAGAAGTAGCACCCTGTGGAGCGGCTCTGGCCTGCCTGGCTAGCGAAAGTGAAGTGGGACTCCTTGTGTTTTTGTCTGGGACCTCCCTGGAGCTGCCGGGGCTCTGCGATTCACACTTGGTCTCAGCTTGCAGTGGAGAAGAGCTCTTAGTCACAGGGCTTGATGATGCAGTTGTAACGGCAGTTGTAACGGCAGCAGGTCTTATACGAGGAGGCGAGCTGTTCAGAGGGGAACCAGCCTTGGATTTGAGAGGGATCGGTTTACTAACAGGGAGCTTTTGGGTTGAAGGGGTAGAGTCAGGGGATGAAGAGCCTTGGTACGTGACAGTGACTTTAGCAGGAACTTTCCTTTTCAAGGTTCCTTCAGTGGTTTGTTTCTGAGAAGGCTCTGCTTCAGCCAAGCCTTGGGCTTGCTCCTCCATTTCCTGCTTGCGAAGGCGCTTCTCCCGCATGATCTCCTCAAAGGTCTTGACCTTGAGATTGTTACTGGTGGCATCACTGGCCTAGAGACAAACAGGAAATAACCGTCAGGTGGAGTTGTCACAGAATAACAAGCAACCATAGCCAATACTGCAGAATCTGCTACACACTGTACCTCAGGAGCAGCAGGGGGAGTTTTCACTGTCTTCTTGGTCACTTCATCACTCTTCTCTGTTGTTCCGTTGCCTGCCGAGTTCAACATAATGTACATTTTAGAAATACAAAAATGTGTAAAACGAGCGATAGCAAATGCGTTAATCAGTTTACAGCAGTAGGTATGATCAACAGTTCTGCAAACATTCCTTCTGCCAATAAACGGGGATAAACGATAAATGTGTGTGCTTTCTCACTTTGCCGAGCCGGTTTCTTGATGCACGAGGCTAGGCGAGGCTTTTTAGCATCAGTCTCTTCAGAATCAGAGCTCTTCTTGTTCTCAGCCTCCAGGGACTGCTGAGCTGGACTCCTGCCTGCCTTTTCCATGCGGATCTCCTCCAGAGTCTTCACTCTAAGCTCCCCCAGGTTTGCTGCCTCAGGACTAGCAGCCACAGTGTCAGACGGTCCCTGGCTCTTGCCTGCAGCTTTCTCTACACTGAGCCTGGCCTTCTTGAGGGTGGGGCTTTGATCCTGCTCCTCCTGCCTTTTCTTCTTTGCATGCAGGATCTCAGAGAAGGTTTTGATGTGGCTAATGGGATCCTTTTTGATGGTGCTAGCTCGCTTAGCACTCTTGGTCGGTTTGGGTATGTCGGTTTCAGGATCGGCTTTACGGCTCTGGGACGGAGATTTTCCTGCCTTCTCCTGTCTGATTTCCTCCAGAGTTTTGATGCGGATCTGCTCAGAAGCTTTCCTTGACTCCACGTTGGTCTCCGCTGTAGGGACGGTTAGAGGACAATGAAAACTATGTATTCATCAATATTCATAATTAATTCCTTTCCAAACTAAATTATAAACAGTTGTAGCTTTATATATTTGTCCGACTTCTTACCTGGTTTGGTGGGTGAAACAGACCCGGGCAATCCAAGTCTGTCCTTAATTGGCTTCAAAGCTGTACAAGCAGAAGAAATTAAATGTTTTAATAGATACATTTTTCATTCTGTTTGTACAAACACATCAGTCACATTAGTGCTCTGCCCACCTTAATAGATCTGACCTGAACACTAACCTTTTTGAGGGGGCATTAATGGCTCTTCCTCATCCACAATTCTTCCCAGACGCCCAGCCAGACCTCTTCTTAGTGGAACACCATCTCCATTGTTCATATCTACAGCAAGAACAAGTCATGAGCTGCTAATCTTTGAAAACTACTATTATGAGCATCGGCACTTAATCTGTTGAGGTGTGTAACAAGAGGGCATCTACCGCTGTGGGGCATCTTCTTCCCAAGCCTTTCAGCCACACTACCTCTGGGTCTCCCAGTTTCTTGAAAGAGAAGTGGGCCTAAAAGAGAGGGACCATGTGCTGGTTTAGAATAAAGTGATATTGACTTTACTTCGAGTTAGAACTCGAAAGTAACCGTTATTATTCTGTGAGTTCATTTGAAACATTATTAATAGTAAACCAATGTTACAGAGCCAAGTACGATTTTGCTTATAGCAACCATGAGCAATATATTTGGAGTGTATAAGGTCAAAAACAATCCTGTGCCTATTATGTCTAATTTATCACTCAATATCAATATTACAGTTGTTTTGTTTTGTCCAACAAATACAATAATACTAAACATTCAAACTAGCCTCAAAGTTTTCTGGATCGTTTTATTTTCAGCACAACCCCTGGCACTGATTTTTCTTAAAAACTGATCATACATAAAAAGGTTTATGCCATTAGTGTTTTTCTGATCAAATTCATAATAATTTAGGGACATATATCTTCAGAGACAAATATAAAATGCGTAAATCTGGAAGCAGGAATGATGCAGAGTTGGATATCCTAACACCTGAAATTCTGACAATGTTTACCATCTCCAGTCTCAAAGAGGGCTGGTCGGAAGAATGACTGGATGTTTTCTTTCTCTCCGTTGGATGAAGTATCAGCACTCTGGATGGGGTAACCAGTTCTCTTCATGCTGGCCTTCAGGGCCTTCCTAAGCCGAATCTCCTCCAAGGTGCTCACTCCAAAGTTCAGTGAGTCTAGTGTGAAGACAACATTACACCGTCAAATCATAATCATTCCTTAAAGGTCCCATGTCATGGCCATTTCTACTGATCATAATTCCATTGTTGAGGTCTACTAGAATAGATTTACATTGTTCAATGTTCCAAACTCACATTGGTTTCTCATACAGCATCTCTATAGTATGTGTATTCACTCTCTGTCCTAAACGGCTTGTTGGAGCTCCTGCCCCCCCCTCCCTATGAGCCCACTGTGCTCCGATGTGTGTTTATGTGTTACAATGGCGTTTGTTAGCAACCAGAAAAGGATGCCAGTAATGACAAACAGATGAGAATGCTGCGTGGGGTCTGGGTGACGTGTTGGCGGGACGTTGCGGGGCTCGCTGCTCCGCTCGAGGAGCGGACAGTGTGAGCTGGCTTACTGGTGTCGTTTCCTGGTTGCTGCATGGGGTCTGCGAGACAGCGAGACAGCGAGACACCGAGGAACTCAGCCTGAGCACACACACGTGAGTGTGTGGCGAACTGTGAGTGGAGAGCAACGGAGCCGAGGCTGAGAAAAGATAAGGTGTGTGCCGGCGAAACTCCACAGAGTAGCGCGGCTGAGAAAAGATAAGGCTGAGTGTGTGTGTGTGTGTGTGAGGAGCTCCACGGATTGGTCCATTTGGACCTGGGTATCGTTACGTCACTTTACTCAGGAAGAAAACAATGGAAAAAGAGAAATCTCCAACGAGGCGTTCTGGAGCAGCATAGACAGGTATTTTCTGTGTTAGAGTTTTACTCGCTACAGGGTGTACTTTGAGGGTTTGTGACTCTGCAGACCGTTTACATGAATAAAAAGCTACATAACACACAAGGGGACGGGTAATAACCGGAAAAGCATGACATGGGACCTTTAAATTCCACACAGATTATGGTGTAGCACAGCTTTGTTAACTAATAATGATTCCAAATGTGGTGTGTCAGTCTCACCTGACTTGGATAGTTTTCTAGGAGAGAGGCCAACCTTTCCATCTTCTCCCTCCTCTGAGTACTGGTCTGGAAAAGTAAAGACATGTGATTGATAACGACTGATATATCCTCTCCCAGAAGGAGGAAAAGAAAAGGGACGAAAAAGCAATTTTTAGATAAAATCAAGCTCACCATCTTCATCCTCGTCATCATCTGCTGGATTAATTACCACTGGTGGGTGTGTGGGGCTTGGTACTGGCTCCTGAGTTTCTGTCTTGATCACGCCTCTGAGCTGGGGATTGGCTGCAGTGGGGAGGGGGGCAATTGGCGGAGGAGCTGGTTCCTCATGTGGCTGTTCTTCGGCTTTGCTTAGACCTGAGAGAATCAGTTATTATTCATTTTTTCAGTTGAATGTAAAATTGTCTTAAACCACTCAACATTTGTATTCAAATGGTGCGTTCACAGCGGACAAGATGCGAATCCTTACAATCACTCAAACAAGACACGCTGGCAAGCGAGCTTATCTCTATGTAGATACCAACTACAATAATAACATATTTTGTTGTGATTTAATTGAAATACTCAAAATCCCCGGGCGCTGTACAATAGCTGCCCACTGCTCCTAGTACTAGGATGGGTTAAATGCAGAGGTCCAATTTCACTGTGTGCATGTATTTGTGACCATTAAAGAGGGTTTCATCTTCCTATTCTACCTAAAATGATAACGAGATAACTAATACCGTTAGTAAAAAACGGTTTGGCGAGTGTGCTCACAAAAAGGCATGTTGTAAAATGTTGTTTTCTGAATGGAGATCGGATCGATCAGGCTTAGCCAACATAAAGCTGCTCCGTCCACACTCACAACAACGTCATACAGACATCACTAAAGCAGCGACTGTATTCGCCATGCAATAGACATTCAGTGGTATGTACATTTAGAACTTTTCTCCTGTTTCTGAACAGAAATGATGAACTGTGAGGTTTGTGGGCCGTCTCCCAGAGCCAACGGCTGCTGTTTTGGTTTTCTGATTCAACAGCGTCAGTGATGTCTGGCTGATATTCTCAACGCCTCATCGCATCCGGTGTGAACACACCTTTGGTGTGTTTGTTAATGAAAAGTAAACTCACTTTTGTCCGGTGGGACAAACATGCCCTCGATGTAGCGGGGCCTTTCATGGAAGAAGGCACAGTGTGGCTTCTGGCAGCCGGCTGACTGGCTCTCCCAATAACAAGGTATCTCCTTCCGGTTTTTCTGTTTCAATTAAAAAGGTTAGCAACATGTTGATTAAATCACATCTCAATCAGACGCATGTCCATAATGTTGCCATTATTATATTTGCATTATATAATTGTGTGTTTGTACTTCCTTTGTAGAGCGGCAGTACTACAGCTAGCAAGCTTATCCAAAGTAATTATTTTTAAGCTTCGATCTAGAGCCACCTATTTAGCAATAGTAAACGTTAGCTAGCTATTTTGTTCCTTAAAGCAAAATATGGTATAGTGATTAAACAGAGAAGATTAAAAGTGTGTGGCCTTTGACTTTGGCCTGCAAAGGTGTGGTTATTACTCTGATGTGTAGGAGGAAGAGCCATATTACATAAGCCTCATCTTCAAGGCACACCTTCAGATGTAATGCAGGTTTTAGAAATGTACAGTGAAGAAAGGAGCTTCACCTGGTTTTACTGCACTCAAAATCACATGAAGCTTACCAACAAAATGCTAACATTTGTTTATTTTTTATTAAAATGATGATTAATGCAGGTTAATAGTAATGCAGATATTTAATGGACCTTGTTTATTGTAATACTGCACACTGACAAGCGTGTTGTGTGATGACTTCACAGTTCACTTAGTGTTCAGGTAAACTCAGGTTTACAGGGAGACTATTGGCGCATTTCTACTACAGCGCGGAGCGCGGTTTAAGCGTGCCGTGCCCGGCCCGTTTTTGGTTGCGTTTCCACTAGGCGTAGATCCGGCTAGCAGGTACTTTTTCAGTTTTTCTGGCTCTCCAAAATCGAGGTTCTTTCCGGGCCAACAACCGGGCTGAGTATGCTAAGCTAGTGAGAGAATCGCTGGCAACTACAACAAAATGAACATATTTTACCGTGATTTAATTGTAATACACGTTTCAAAATGATGCCGAAGTAACAACATACTGATACCGGTTAGTAAAAACCATGAATTAATGCTTTGACAAGACTGCAGACAGACGGCAGGCAAAAAACCTTTTAAAATGCGTATTTTCTGAATGGAGATCGGCTAAGCTAACGTTGTATATGCTCCGACCGTCCACACTCACAACAACGGCCTACAGACATAAATAAACCAGCGACTGTATTCACCATGACACAGACAGTCTGTGGTTTGTACTTGTTTAACTTTTGTATAGTTTCTGAACAGATATGAGGAGCTGTGAGCTCTGAGGGCTAACAGCTGATGTTGGTTTTGTGTTTCGCATTGAAGATGACGTCACGGCTCCGCCTACACTGCGTTACTATAGATACTACCCCAGTTCCTAAACTGTAATGGAAACGCAGCATAAAGTGAGCCTGGCCTAACAAGGCCTAACGAGGCCTAGCCATACCGTACTAAGCCGAGCGAGGCCCTGCAGTGGAAAAGCGCCATCATTCTAACCTTTTTTGAAGGCCAGTCAAAGGCCAATGAGCCTAGAGAGGGCAAACCTTGAAGGAGACATTACTGAGCTTTCTGAATTATAAAACAATATTTTTAAATGTTTCTTACTGTGATCTCCATGTGGCGAAACTTGCAGACGGTACGGAAACAGCGTCCCTCCTGCCAGAGGTTGCAGACGATCTCACTGCCCATAGCTGCCTCACAGTGTCTGAATGGGCAGCTGTCTCCCTGGATGATACATGAAACACAGTAAGACCCTACTCTTTTTTTCTTGTTACCAGGCTATGTGTGAAAATGTGAGCTTTGTGCACAAACGTTGCTCACTTTAGTGCAGGTGGAATAGTAAAAGAAGTAGCAGTCATCTCCATGGTTGGTCATAGTAATGCGGGGATGCCTCGGGTGGTGGAGGTGATAAACCCAGCAGCTGATTCTATTCAGGGCCAACAAGACGAAGCACAGAAACCAATCAAAAACAGAGATCCTATCCTACTACATTATATCCATTTACTAAACGTTTTATATCGAGTCTATACATGGCAGATTTCTTCATATTACAAAATTAAATAAATCTAGTAAGCATACCAACTACCAGTTCCTGATTGGACCTTAGTCAAATATCCTAACCGCACAAGCATTTCAGGTTTAACACAACCAAATGGGTTTTCTTGTGGTTATCTGATAGAAAAGTGTGACCGATTGTAGTGTTTTCAATGCAATGTCCTGCGTTATTACATGATGTGAAAAATGGAGGCTCGGGAGTGCAGAAGGTAAGCAATGTCTTTTTAAAGGAGCAGAGTACTTTCCTTGAATTATATTACAAATAATGATTTATAATAACACATAGCATAAAATTGGTAAACTATTAACAAATATGCTTTCTTCTCTGACAACTACTAGACTGCATATGTGGTGAAGTAAACATTATGGTAATATAATTTAAATCAAAATACATTTATCAGATGACTTTAGGTGGAGTGAGACATTTGAATTAAGCTCACCAGTAACACATGTTTCTTATATTCCTATTCCATCTGTACTTACAAGCCAATTGTGATGTTGCTATAATTACCTGAGGTGGCTGAGAAGTTGTATCCCTCACTGCTGGTGGGGTGTCTCCTTGGTGGTATGGAGTCCTGAAGGAACACTTGATCCGTGAGATAATAGGAAAAGAGGGGTGGCTCGTCCAGAGACACTTGTCTTCCTACGACATCCCTTTTCTGAGACTCTGAGAAATCTTTATCCCGCAAGACTGCTAAGCATAACTGAAGGTGGATGCAATAGAGTCCTTTGGGAACTTTTTTTTATTTTTTTTTTATTAATTGGTGCAATTAATAAAATAAAGAAATAGGGGGGCATAAACTGACAGAAAATAAAAAAATTGATCTCCAAAAATGCTTAGCAAAAAGGGTGTGGATGGCAGGTGGAAAAACAATCCTCAGCTTCTTCTTGGAGTTGGTGACATTTGGGTGATGGTAATAGAAGAAAAATTGACAGGATATTCAAGCCGTTAAGAGATTTTCAACCAATGCTGAAGAGAAAAAAAAAATCTTCTGCCAATGAATTCTCATGGGGGGGAATGCTATCCATATCCAGGGATTCCCGCAAAGAGCCAAGAGGATGGATTTAAACCTAAAAAATGAATCAAAAACACTCCCCCAGGGAACTGAAACAAAGTGTTATTAAGAGACAGATAGTTCTTCACAAATACAAAGGTGACAGTTGGACATTTCTGCAAAGAGTGAGACACAATACAATCAATAATGACTGCAGATGAGTTTAGTTTTAACAAGAGTCCAGGTCAGTGGACAGACTCTATTTGACTAGATTATTAACCCATGTTTATATATTTCAAGTATCGAATTCAGAATAAAGAACAACTGAATCTGCCCTTTTCGAGAGTCCAGGCCTGGATTGTTTATTTTCACCAGACATGTAGGCCTCAGTTCGACACTGATAAACCTGAACAACAACTCTGGCTTCCATCTTAAGGAAGAAAAAAACTGTAGCGAAGCTAAATAGTACTTATACGCGATATGACGCGATAAACAAATAATGATTTACAAAGTTACTGACTCAAAATATTAGTAAACCAAATAACGAAATTTCTCCTGTAGCCCCAAATGAAAAGGTTGTGAGTTTAACGTTACAAGTAAAGATATCTGAGACCACTAACGTGACCAAGAACAGAGAGTTTAAAGTATTTAAAGTGAAAGCTTTAAAAAAACAAAACAGTCAAGACAACAATCAGATACTTACTGTTTATAAATTTAAAAAGTAGCTCAGAGTTAGCTGGAGCGAACTACCAACGATTCCCAGCAGAGAAGGAAAGCAATAACGTTACTGTATGAAGAGCAACAAAGACTAATGTTAGATAAAATAGTGGAGAACATATGACAATGGATTTTATGTCTGCTGTTTAACCCACCCGCCTTAACACCTCTTATATTGTGTTTGTGTTTTTATTTCAATTATATTTTTAGCTTATGCTACATAGCAGAGGCCTACCAAAACCACCAATATCTCGCGACCTTATCGTTAGTGGTGTGTTAGCCTTCGCTAGCTAGTCGTTGTCGGCTTTTTTGTGCCGTAGTATTAACTTTTATAGTACAACACTGAAGTTTAATGAATAACGAAAGAAAGTATGTGGTGTCAATTACCAGTTTCAGGTTTAAAAATATATTTAAAAAAAAGTTGTGTAATGTAGGAAGACCCGTCCCGGTTCGATGCCTAACGACGCCGCACTTTAGACCACAGTAAAATGGCGGCAGCAGGGAACGCAAGAGGGAGGGCCATAGACCATAGAGGGGAGGGCATAGGAACACAGCATGGGAAGGGTGGTCCAAACTTCTTCCTTCTTATTTTGGATTCGGTAGACTAGACGCTGCAATGGCTTAGTGTTGCCCTCTAACGTTACAGTTCGTTAAATTGTAATTCTGACAGTTATTTATAAAAGAGTAAAAAAAGTGGCCACTATTTGCTTCCAGGTCTCACAGCATGCACTGCACTGCAGTACAGCTGTCTGTCTTTCAACACTCCCTTTTTGTATGGCTGGTGTGATGTGTCTATATGCTTAGTTTAATGGCATGTGGACCATATACAGTCTATGATGTGGACACACGGCACATTCTTAAATGTAAGAATTATACAACAATGAAAGGCCACCGAACACACAAACTATTCAGCATTCTACAAACCCCAAAGTCTTACAGACTTGGTAGGCCACACATATCTGCTCAATACTTTTTTCATTTATTGTATCTATGTAACCCGTGTAGCGTGATAAAAACTCCAGTAATTGGTGGGGTAATGATAACTATATTATCTAAAAAGAGTTTGCGCTAACTGTTTGTTTATGATATTGATAATTAATGTGCTTTTATTTTGTATTAGACATGTGCTTTACTCATAACTGACTGTATCACACACCTTTCATTTTTACGGATGTGCAGCGTCTTTCTCTGCTTTAAGCTGTAAGCGTTAACATGGGTCAGTGAGTCTTATATGAAGGAAGGGCCTACCGTTCTATTATTTATTCCAGAATGATCATTTTATGTTCGATTATGTGTTCATACCATAGGTTCATACAAAATGTTTTGATTGAGAAGATGGAAAAAGCCATTAGTTTGTTTCTTTATTTTGAAAAGTAATAACCGGAAGTAGCGCATATTTTATTTTGGTTGGTTTGACTGCGGGTCAGTTGAACAGAGTTTGTCTGTTGAGTTTACACTACACACTAGCCTTATCAGTTGCTGCCTGTTCTTCTGCCTCCTGCTGACAGTCAGTAGCCGTTGTATCGCTTGCTACTGTTCGAAGTAACTTGAGGTTAGCTTTGCAACGAACTGACAACTTAAGGAGTAAAATACAAGCATCCCACTTGTTGCTCGTCTTCATGGACTCTGTTCAGGTAGGTCAGTAAGCTGGGTGACGTTACACATGCTGACACAAGTTAGCGTTAGCATGTCGCTAGCAGGGTTTGGCTAACAAGGGCTGGGCCAATTAGCCACAAGGTGACAAACAGGTAACGATGACTAGTTGTTTGGAGTCTAATGTCAACGGTAGTTTGTTTACACCTGGCTAACTATATTTCAATCAGTAGTCACTCTGCGTCTTTTTACACACCTTGTTTTTTATCCTCAGAAATTGGCTTCAGGGTTTACTCTGGACCTGGGACCATTGAAAGAACCTCTTGGGTTTATCCGTGTCCTAGAATGGGTAAGTAAAATAAAAAAGTTCGTAGGCCTACAGTTACTTTAAATTAGAAATCTAACCAAATTTACCTCAGTTATAAGTTATCTCTATGTGCCTTCCGCCTCACTATCTAATCAGCGTTTCTCTCATTTGAGCCTCGTGATGTTGATATATTCCCTATGAGTTCTTTCCACTAATTATACGTTAACAGACCCTTTATTGTTTTCGCAATATATTCAAGAACATAGTCGAAACTTTAAAGGCTGAAAAATAACGTCCAATAACTGCTGCAGGTTCCTCTGCCTCTCCTTTTTTCATGTGTAACGTTGGAGTCTTGGCCTTTGACCTGTTTACTGAGTGAAGTCATGCCGTAGCTTGAGGATTTACATTGCAGATAGCTACTGATTTCCCAATGTTAAACTTATGAGTATGCAGCGTTCCCTTACACTCTTTCTATGGCCAGTGTTGTGCCGAATTATGTATTGTTTAATTTTACATATTTGTCATATAATAATCAAAATATATGTTTACAAATGTTACAGTTGTGCCGAATTATGCACCCCCCCAAAAAAGATGCTTCTATTAATCCCACCCTCAAGCACTTTTGAGGGTATAGTTGTAGGACTAGTACCAATAAATGGAGCAAGTTTCATGTATGTATTGTCAGAGATAGCAAGTGGCAACCAGGCCTGCTGTATAAAGCACCCCCCCCAAAAAGAGGTTTCTATTAATCCCACCCTCAAGCACTTGGTGTAAAAATCCATTAGCTCATTTAGACCCGAATAATTAACACAAAAAGGTAAAAGTCATCTTTATAATGCAAAAATATGCTGACAAAGACTATGTAACATTTGTAAACATATATTTTGATTATTATATGACAAATATGTAAAATTAAACAATACATTTTAAAGCATGTGTATACAGACAGGACGTCACAATTAAATAAAAACATATATTAAATAAAAAAAATGACTGAAAAAGAAGTGACGAATGAATACAAAATCCAGGGGGATTCGACACCCCATGTTTCAATATGTATTGTGTGCTATACTGATAATAACGACACACTCTATCTTACTCTCACATACTTTACTTGTAATGTTCCACAAGATACAATGCAACATCCTAGCCGTGCTAACTTCAGAACTGACGCTCATGCCTGGTCCCTCGGCTCATGTCGTCCCCTCGGGCCACCTGTGCGTCAACAAATAATGTCCCCCTGGCCAACGTATATTGCAACACCCCAACCATCAAAATACGGAGCGAAAAGTTTAACCACAAGAATCAAGACTATATGAGCTACCACTAAACAACTCGCAGTCTGAAAATTACCATTAAAAAAAATCCCTGGACGTTTACTTTTCGTTTTAAGCATCGTTTTAAGGTGTAAACGTTTCATTTTCAAATGCGCATTCCCGTGACAAGGGGTGCATTTCACGGTGGGGGTGCATAATTCGGCACAACACCGGCCCTGACCAATTTGCTGCCCTAGGCAAGATTTTAGCTGACATATTATAGAAATCAGATTACAGGTGCAGCTCACAATATCATATATTGCCTCCATACCATGTAAAATGTATGCATTTATCTGTGCAAAAGGAGCCCCGACCAAGTACAGAAATGAACAAACTTTTCAGAAGGTCGAAATATCTGTATTATAAATCCTGTTTTGATTGGTCTTATCTATTATACTATTTTGAGATACAGGATTAGTGATTTGCATGATCTTTAAGCTGTAATCATAACAATTAAAACAAAAAAGGCTTGAAATATTTCACTTTATGCATAATGAATCTAGAATATATGAATGTTTCATTTTTTTAACTTAAATTACAGAAGAAAAGTTCTATGATATAATAATTTCTTTAGATGCACCTGTAGATTCAGCTTTAGCATCTAACCAGATGGCAAAGAAGCAGTTAAGTGCAGTGTAATAAAGCATAAAGATAAAGGCTAAGGTATGGAATTTAAGGTGGGAGTAACGGTAATTGACGTTAACACCGCCTACACACGGCGGCGTGCGTTGCCGCTTGGCGGTGGGCGTATCTTGAGCTTGGGGAGTTTACGCGAGCAACGCGACCAACAACCAATCACATGAATCTCCCGTGTCTCTCCCCAAGGACTGGAAAATGGAAGAAGTGACCAGAAAGTCGGGTTTGTCAGCTGGAAAAAGCGATGTCTATTATTTTAGGTACTAAACGAACGGGGGCTTGCAAAACTTTTAGCTGCACAGGACACAAGAGTTTGCGGATACAAGACAGGAGTTGATAATTGGAAGGGGGGGGTCTGTGTAAAGTTTGTGATGGGAAGGGGGGGGGGGGGGTTTCTGTTTGCAGCGGGGTAAAAAGGCTTTAAAAAGGCTCTCGTGTATGAATCTCACCATAGACATTGTCTAAAAAGCGATTTTTAATTAATGTCTATTGGACTATTTTATGCAACATTGCATGCTGGCTAAATATACGGTCTATGCCTGCTGTCCATTCAAACGAAGTAAACTGGATATAAACTCCCCAAACAGGCGAAAACCTACCAGTTTCACCCACTGTCTCTGCCACCTCCCTCCATGCCTGGCTCCTCCGGTTTGTATCCCGGTAGGTGAACAGAGACTGATCATATAGCACCGGGTGATTCCCTACCGCTACGATGATTTTCTCCTCCATTTTTTGCATATGAGGAAATTAACTGCAGTATGGCTCTCCCAGCATACACGCGGTTTGATTGGCTAGCGCTTGTACTGGCAGATTTGATTGGCTGACGCCTCCGTCGAAGCTTCAAAAGTAGAACATTGCTCTACTTTTGCAGCGAGCACCGCGAGAAAAGCTACGCTTTGCTCCCACAATGCAGTTCGGCGAAGCGTGACGTCACCCCATTCAAAGTGAATGGGCAGAAGCGTTGAAACGGCAACGCACGCTGCCGTGTGTAGGGGCCGTAACTCCAAATATAACTATTGATTAGCAAACAAACGACCTTGCTATCGTCTAAAAGTAAGCTAGCAAGTTAACACTGTTCCATCAACGGTAACTACAATTCAATTGAATTTTGATTAATCATCACATTAACGTTACTGTACCTTTGTGTTTCTTCCCTTATTCATCCTCCTCTTTTATTTTCTTTCTTCCCTGGGCACCAGATATCTTTGTTAGTTTCGACATGGTGATGGCTAATTATCGTCAGGTAGTTAGCGTCTTTTTTTTTGTCACGGCAGGTCAAGTGTCAGTTCAGAAAATCCCCCCGCCCCCCGGGGCAGTTCAACTTACCTGATGTGGGGGGGAGCGCCATAGTTTATGGGCGCTGTACGCAATGTAGGCGTAATTCTGTGAAGATAAGATAATAAGATGTACTTTATTGATCACAAATTGGGAAATTGTTTTGTTATTAAATCTCATTACTAGTATCGCTGCATCACAGCGGGAGGAGCAAAACACACACTTCAAGTCAGATCATCACCCTTAGCTATTTTAATTACCTCTCAAACTACCTAAACTAGTTATAAATATGTTTATTTTTACTGTCGGGCCACTCATTACTGGATCAGCTGCTGCATGAGACAGACACTGACGCTGTCAGAAGAGAGCGAGGAAAAAGAGAGGCTCCGTGTATTTTATTATTATATTATTATATAGGGTCGTTATTCATTTGTTTTAAAGCTCAATAAATAACAAAGACCTTTGACCGGCACTTTTATAATTTTGTCCGGAAGATTTAAACTTTAACACACGTTGACCGGCGAAAAACTCTGCCCGGTTCCCTCGGCCCCCACCGCGGAGAATAAACAGAAGGGCAGCCATGACAACCATGCTTCTTCGCTGCTTTTGTGGAGGAAGTTGCTGCTTTTGTGGAGGAAGTTACAGCCACGTACAGGCTCGGCATATGTACTGCAGCTTTTCCAGCGGTTGGAACTAAACGGAGCTGTCTCGTGTGAACAGACACTATCCGGTGTCTATTGCGTGTGGACCGAAGCCTTTGCATTTGTGTATGCGTTTTCCCGTATGCGTCCTCGTGGGCCATCAGCCTGAAACTGAGATTACTGAATCGTTTCTTTTACGGTCCTTTTTTCTGTATAGGAAGTAAAGAAACCGTAACTCTGGATTTATTTGTTGTTTGAGGTGCAATATATGATTCAGCAGCTTTTAAGACATGAAGAAGATATTATTTTACGCTTCGCTCTAATGCATTATTTTCGCCGGAAAGTGGGCGGGGCCATAATTTTGGCAGAAAGTCATGCTAGTGCCCTCATACTATATTTTTCTAGAATAACACCTGCTGTACTGGTTTACATTTAGGAAGATTATGAAGTCAATCAAACTCTTTCATGCGAGCTTTCTGTACTAAAACAGCGGCGGGGGTGTGTATGTGTCTACAGAAGGTCCAGTTGTGATAGACACGGTTCGCCACTGCCATTTATATTATGTCAAAAGCAAATAAGAATGTGTTTATTTTAGGGCTGTCAAGTTAACGCGTTAATAACGCGTTAACGCAAAAAAAAAATTAACGCCACTAATTATTTTAACGCGATTAACGCATGTGTATTTTTTGTCCTCGGCCGCCCCGTAGTTTCAGAGCGCATCGAGTTTAAAATACCATCTACAAGCTGATGCTGACAGCCCCGCTCCTGCCGCCCGCTTGTGGCAGACCACACTTCCACGCTCACCGGCAGGCCCGGACTGGCCATCGGGAGGACCGGGAGGGAGTGTGTATGTGTGGGGCGACTCGCGCGAGCGAGGCACACCTTACGTGTTGTTGTTGTTAGCATCTGGTGCTAGCTAGCTGCGCTAACGGATATAAGGAGCTGTTTCAATGACATTTCGCCGACAACTGCGCCGAGCACTTGACTTTATGCAGGCAGCCAGACAGTGGGACATTGTACGAAAAGTCAGCATACTCAGCACGGATAGTACGCGCAACATGATTGCAGCTCCCGTTCGAGCATATATGCCTTGAGCTGCACATACTGTAGCTCCAACGATCCATCACAGTGTCCACACACACACACACACACACACACACACACACACACACACACACACACACACACACACACACACACACACACACACACACACACACACACACACACACTTTGTATTGTATTATTGTATGAGAGAGGTTCCAGGTTGAATTGAGGCGAATATTTGTAATGTTCAGAGGTTGTTGTGTTTAATATTCATGAGAATATTTGTCATTGTTCAAATGATAATAAACAAACATATAAAGCATATTTGTCCACTCATATGTTGATAAGAGTATTAAAAACTTGAAAAATATCCCTCTAAGGTACATTTAGAACAGATACAAAATGTGCGATTAATTTGCGATTAATCGCGATTAACTATGGACAATCATGCGATTAATCGTGATTAAATATTTTAATCGACTGACAGCCCTAGTTTATTTTCTTCTCATGTTAATTTCTAGTTCATCATTTCCCTTTATGTTCCAACAATTGTTTGTGACCTAATAAGGCTGTTGCTTTCAATGTTAAAACAAATGTGGCCATCAATTCGTTGGCTCTAATTTTTCATTTGAGAAATGTTGCTCTTTTAACATTTTCAGCATTGTACACATTGTTGTTCGTAGTTTTTCTACTTTACTTTTTCCAATTTCTCTAGGCAGTTCATCAAGTTCCATTAGTTGTTTTCGGTCTGCTACAGTCTCAAGGCTGAAAAAAACAGAATTCTGTCAGGGAGAGGCATCCTTAGTATTTCAGCGCTGCCTAACTTTCTCTACTGTAATGCTGTGGAAGTATGCTTAGAATGGACATTACTGAATGTCAGACTGGTTTGTATACATGGACATTGGCCAGTAGGGTTCAGAGTCAGATGGAAGGTAGGTGCTGTCTCTGGTTGTTTTTGTAATCACAACCTGGCTCTAGTTTAGTCACTATTATTTCATGTTCATATGATGTGCATGTGACGGTTGTTTTTTCTGAAATGTTAAATAGCCCATGTCAGAACCTTTTGATTTGCTGATCAGTCCTGCCACTCCCTGATCAGGAGAACTTGTGAGGAATGCTTCAGTCAGTCTGTGGGAGGCTGGGTCATTGGACTTTGGACAGGGAACCCTTCCTGACCCCCTATATGAGGGGTTTATTTGGGGTTCCATCAGATTGGGTGGTTCAAACAGGGCTGAGATGTAAGCTGAGAAATGTTGTGGCGATCCTGAAACATGAAACCCATTCCTGGAAATCCTGAGTGGCTTGAAGGTTACTAAATACTGCACAACAGTTCTCTGTGTGTGTTTCTGTTTATACGGCTGTCTTTCCTCTGCTGCACAAGGCAGGCTGTTCAACTCAGTGCCTGGCCCTGTGCTTTTCTATACAAAAGTTATAGCACTGAAAAGGACCCTGGTGATCTGGGAGTGTGCTTCAGTAGATGTGGATTACATTACATGTTACTTGTTAGACGCTTTTATCAAAAGCGACTTACATACTCAATACTGTGGGCAATCCCCACAGGAGCAAGTGTCTTGCCCAGGGACACGACATGCTGACTGCAGTGGGGTTTGAACCTGTGCTCCCCTGATCCGAACACCAACGCACTAGTCCACAGCCTCCCCTGGATGTGTTGAAACAAAGGACATTATTCTTAACCTGTTAAGCCCGAGAGACCCCGGTACCGGGGCACTGCCGCAACATCTTGCAGGAAACAGTGTCTGAGGGCATGTTCATTTAATAAACTATGAATGTTTTATATCCATGTAACGGGAAGAAACTCATCTAACTGATCATTTTTATTTTTATTTCAAAAAGAAAACCCACAATGCTAACACTGAGCCTCTGAATTAGCAACGAGCGAAAAATGCTAACAGATTACTGCACCGAAAATCACTCACAAAACCTTATTATTTATCTTTTCTCCACATCCATGAGATCGATTCACATCGTGAGGTGACACAGAATCGATGGGTACCCTCATTATCACTGAATTATACGGATTGGCGACGTTATAAACAAAAACAGACATCAAAACAGGTGACGCTAGGTAGCTAAAAATGCTAACAAGGTTACCTTGGCTCTGTAGTCTCTCCAAAGTGGTCTTCAATGGCATTAAAACAATAAAAACGCTGCTGAAGTTAATCCATAGGTTAATCCAATGTGTCTGTGTCCCTTTGAAATGATTTCTGATAATCCATGATCAATAAGACGGATAATCCATGCTATTCCGTTTCTAGATATCAGAGCTAGAATGTAGCTTCACTCTAATGCAAAATGACACGCGCAAAGCCCCCACCTTTTTGTCTCACAATGAGTGTGTGTGGGGGACTCCTCCTTCGATTCTATTGGCTCTAACGGTCAAAAAGAGGTGTCAACCATCAAAATCGACCAATGGGTTCCAGAGATATGAAAAAAAAAAACATTTACAACCCAAATCACCTCAGAGGTGGAGTGTTTTTGGCTAAACCTCTCTAAAAAGGTCAAATGTCACTTGTTTTGTATCAATCTTGATACAGGGTACTTATTATATGTTGTACTTTGGATTTCTAAAGCTTTTAGTCTACCTTACCATCATCCAAGGGTAGTTTTCACTATAAGTAAAAAAGAATTTTTGGACAGACACTATAATTTACAGTTTTTTTACTATGTAAAATCTGAATTTTCTTTAAAATAAAAAACATCTATATTGATTCTGACTTTTCTACATCCAACTCACAGGTTTATCATTACTTTGAGAACAAAGATTATTAATTTAACCCTTTTAGAAGGGAAGATATGGTCATTTGTTCTGGGAATGTCATTTTCGAGCCTGAGACCTGAAAAACAGGCTCAGGGCTTAACAGGTTAAGAGAAAGTACGGAACCAAGAAACACATGCTCTAATCAGGAGCTTTTTCATTGGAGGAAGGATGTTCTGGGAAGGGGTAGAGGAGAGTTGTGGGAGGGGGGGCTGGGGGGCTACAAGCTACCGTAGGCCTTGACAAAACAACTGCAACAACACCATTTGATTTTTATTGAAGGACACTTTCCTTCAGACCATATTACATCAAGGTAATTTTCCATATACACTCAGGTCTTCTTCTACTGCACTTTTATTCATACCTACTGTGAAAACAAACACCCACCTGAGGATGTTCATACTTTTAAAGGTCAATTCAAAACCTACCTTTTTAGTTTGGCGATTCATTTCATTCAATTTTGGTTTATTCAGTCATTTGTTTATCGTATTCAGTTGATATTGAGTGTTGTGTTAATCATATCGTAATGTGTTACTTTGTCTATCGCTGTGGAGGGGAAATTGGTATCATTATTTTTTATTTAATTACATTTTCTGTGAAGCACTTTTTGGAACCTTTTATGTGTGAACAGTCCTCTATAGATAAATTCTGTTTCATTAATAACAAAGATTGCAACCAAGGTGTATGAGACCATCTTGCAAGTGCGACAAGTTTATAGTGATATTTGTAACCCGTCTTACAGCCACTGTAGGCCAACATACTGTACTAAACTGAGAAACATGTAATACTACTTTTATAAGCAGTATAAAGATGTTGAGAAAGCTACGTTTGTAAGACCACTACAATTCCCCCCAAAGTAAACAGGTATTCCAGCCATATAAAAAACATCAAATATTTCCTCGCTACTTCCCACATATTAGTTTTATATGTGGCATGATGTGAGTGTTGACTGTCTGACAGAGAGCAGCTCCCTCTGCTCTGTTGCAACACATGTCTCTATTTGAACACAGAGTGTCCTGCCTTTAAAAATAGGATGAAACGGCACCAGTCAGGAGCTCAACAGCATTGTAGTAAACTTATATCCTGTTTACAGATATAGTAGCATAACACGTTTTTTCCTGGCTCAGTGCTGCCCAAGGGTGTAATGGGTTTTTGGGATGGATATAGTGTCATTAGGATTGTATTTGGCAGTAAGGCTAAAAAATGGTTATATTCAACGTGGTGCTCAGTAAAATACTGTACAGGCCTGAAAATGTGTGCTGAGCTAAACCCTGTCCAGGTCCTACAGCCAACAACATTGTTCAGCCTGTCCCAAGTTTCAGCGTGGGTTACTCTTGTGCTTCAATGAAGATAAGCTGTTCAAATTGTCTAAATCTTGCTACACAATTCATCCCCCTCTCTGGACAGTTGGCTGAAGTAGATGCATAGTCGCCTACTGGCCATTTTTAACCGAACACCAGCCTGCAGTCTGTGCAGCACTTTAGCTGATTCTCTGGTGACCCTGGAGTGGCATCCCAGTTTTTCTGCTCAGTCAGTCCATGTTGAGGCTCAGAGGAAATGGTGTGGGTTCCTCTCTGCTTTCCATTCTTCCTGCTGGGGTCTGCTCTGTGTCAGCATAGTTGAAGATCAAAACAACTTGTTTCTCTCCTTTTAGGAAAATGTCAATGCTGCACTGCCCGTCCAAAGAAAATAGGTGCACACTCTTATATCTCGTTGGACAGCCTTTAGCTCTGAGTACGACACTCAGTTGCCGTGGCATCAAAAGTCTTGTCACTTTAAAGGATAAGGCTGGTGTTCTCGGTCTCCTGGACAGGTCAGTCTATGTTAGACTACAGTACAGTAACCACTCTTCAGTCAAATAGAATGTATATGCTTTTTGTAAGAGCTACACTAGTTGAGGCTCAGTTTGGTGTTCAGCTTTATATTAAAGGGTTAGCCATTTTTGTTTTCAGCTCAGTGAGCAGGGAGGGAGTTTCCTGTGTGGAAAAGGATGTAAGAACGGGGGGGGGCGGGGGAGGAGGAAAGATGTTGAAGTGGGGTGTTTGTTGAAAATCACATCTATTACTTATGGGAAGGGAAAAGCATCATTGTATCAATACTATATTGACTTAAATGTGGGAGGCTGGTCAGCAGTTGGCTTTAATTCATTTATCATAAAACATTTTTTTAATCTATTACAACTACAGCTGCAGTATCAGGTAAGATTTCCATAAAACCAAAAGCCTCATAACTTTAAAATACCTCTTATTAAAAACCTCTTCTCCTTATGTTTCTCTGCCTCTACAGGTCTTCACCATCTTTGCCTTTGCCACCACTGGAGGTTACTCTGGGTCATCCCACTTTACACTCATTTGCAATGGAGCTGAAACGAAGGATGTGAATCCTGTGTTTGCCTACCCATTCAGGTACTGTACAACACTGCACTGCTACCAGCCATAGAGCTTTTGCTGTTTACCTCTTATTGAAGGTGTGTCCACATTACTGCCAATACTACAGGACATTTCAAAAAGAGAGAGAGAGAGAGACTGAATATGTGTTAAAATATCATTTTGAATGAAGTATTGTGGAGCTGCAGATATCACGTCCTGCAAATATCATTCTACAGACTTAACCAAACACATTTTTTGGTACAGTCCTAAACGAATCCCACCACAGTTATTTTTATATATTTTTCAATGATAATGGGAATAATGATGCAAAAATGATGAACCGCTCCTATATCGTAATCGCAATACCAGTCAAAATAATCGCAATTAGATATATTGTACAAATCTTGCAGCTACATTTTGATCTTACTTTCCAGTAAATCACTGTTCACAACCGTAGCGCAAGACAACATATTTATCCTTTCTGTCCCCCTTGGTTTTTAGCCGGCTTGAGCATATCATTTTCTGATATTGGTTGCTCAGAGCAGTCAATCAATCAATGTTTATTTATATAGCCCAATATCACAAATGTTACATTTGTCTCAGTGGACTTCACAGTTTGTACAGAATATCAGTATGACAATACGACACCCTCTGTCCTTAGACCCTCACATCGTACAAGGAAAAACTTCCAGAGAAAAACCCCACAGTTTAAAGGGAGACATGGGAGAAACCTCAGGGAGAGCAACAGAGGAGGGATCCCTCTCCCAGGACGGACAGACGTGCAATAGATGCCGTGTGCAAATCGAAAAGATAATACATTTTACAGCATAGGTAGTCCAAATGTTTGGAAATGCATTTGTCTATAATAAGAAGCAGTCACAGTGCAATTTGATTAATGTGATACTTATTACGTAAGCTCTTATTATTTTCCCTTACTGATAATCATAGAATTGTGTGTATATGGGAGGCTGTGGCTCAGTGGGCTAGTGAGTTGATCAGAGGAGCAACTGCAGTCAGCATGTCGTTGGTTCCCTGGGAAAGACACTTCACCCAGATTGCTCCTGTGGGGATGGCCCACAGTACTGAATGTATGTAAGTCGCTTTGGGTAAAAGCGTCTAACAAGTGACGTGTAATGTAATGTGTGTGAATAACCCATCCGTGTTGTGTCCCCGTCAACCAATACCAAAACTAAATTGCTATAGTTTTGCTCCCCATTATCATGAAGTGCAGTGTGATTAATGGGATTATTCCTACTTCCTTTTGGTCATTGCGGTATTCTGTTGAGTCTTCTCTTTTGTGTGTAGTTAGTGATTTTAAGAAATGTTCTGAAAAAAATTCAGACCTATGTGAGTTGTCTTTCTGATGAAGCTGATCTATGGCCATGCAGATGAGTTGAAGGTTCTGTTTAATTAATACACAGAGTCTTGTAAAGAAAAGTCTTGCCTAACCCTTTTATATTCTCTCTACTTGCATTCCTCGGATAGAAGAGTAACCCAGGTGAGGACTTGTTTTCTCTGAAGTCACTGAGTAAAAACCTCATCTGAGTGGCTGTTAGAAAGTGTTCTCCTTTCTCCGTACCCCTGCAGGTTGCCCAAAACCCCATACCAGATACCGTCATGTAACGGCAGCAAACCAGATGATACCTACCTGCAGGGCGACTTCTCCTCCTCTGCAGAGTTCTTTGTGTGTGTTGGTGTGTTTGGGTTCCTGTATTGCACCGCCACACTGGTCCTTTACCTGGGCTTCCAACACGTCTACCGCCAGACCTCCCGGGGTCCCATCATAGTGAGTACTAATCTGGGGCCATATTCAAATAAGTACCAAAATGATCAGCTAGGGGGAAAAAAGATAATTTGTCACAGATTCCCAGTGAATCAGAACAACTAATAAAATACCTGAATTAACATCACACAGTAAGCAGTAAGGCTGCCTTAAAAAGGCCATATTCTGCTTTTTGGAGTTTCCCTTTCCTATAGTGTGTTCTATAGGTGTGTGTGCATGTTAATGGTCTGCACAGGCTCAAATCCCTGTGTTCCCCCCAGAGGGACTTTTCTCTCCTGCACACTCCCTAAAATACAAATATGTGAATAAGCATAATGTGTATTCTTGAAGAACGTTAAACATGTGAATGAGGATGTTACCTCAAAGATAACATGCAGAATTATTATTTGAAATGCCAACCGTTGGACAATTTGATTGGGGCTGTTTAATAGGGGCTGTTTTATTAAATTATTAAATATCCCTACTATTTTGTCACCAGAACTAGGGTATAGCCTTAATCTCATTGTCAAACAGAAAGACAGCAACAGATTTATTTATCATAACACTGTTCAGTTTTTTTCTTGAGGAGCTTGTAAACTTCCACATCAATAGGCAAAGTAGCCATTAACGGAACGTTATATAGAGATTGTGTAAATATGAATTACGTTATAAACACGGATGAAAACGGTACCGAAAGTCCTGGATTTTGTTCTTGGAATGAGAGCTTACTCATTGTCAAGTAGACAAAGTGTTCTCGGGAACAGTCTGAATACTAGTATGTTCACACACTGTCTACTCTCATCAGGACCTTGTGGTGACCGCGGCCTTCGCCTTCCTCTGGCTCGTGTCCTCCTCAGCCTGGGGCAAAGGCCTGACAGATGTGAAATGGGCCACTAACCCAGATCACCTAGTGATGAATGATCAATGCAATAGCACCTGCAAACCAGGGGAGTTTCCTTCCATGGGCCGCCTCAATGCCTCTGTGGTAAGTCATGGTCCAGTAGTGCATATTGGTCCTATAAGGGAGAATGTTTTATGGTGTGTATATAGCACCTTTCATGTACAAAGCAGCCCTTTACAGAAAAACATAACAACAATATTAAAATAATATAAAAATAGATACAGAACAAGATAAAACATCTACAGTGATCCTAATGAAATTCCCTTGAATTAAAGCTGACAAAAAATTAAAATAGGTTCAAATAAAAGCAAAACAGAAAAAATACAGTAAAACATGGACAATGATACTAGTGAGAATTGAAAGTTAACCCAAATTAAAAGCCATATTAAAAAGATAGGTTTTTAATTCGCTATAAGACACATACAGGCCACTTGTTTTGAATATGACATACAAGACAACCTTCTGGTGAAAGCCATTTAAAAAAAATTATAATAATTGCGCTTTATACCGAATGTGATGCTTATATCCATATATCCTTTTTTTTATTTCCACTTTATTTTTCCCTGAAATGTGTTGTATAGATCTGCCTATCAGCCTTTTAGTATTTTGAATCTATAGCGTTACAATTGAAAGAATAATAAAGGATATCATTAATTTAACTGTTTTACACTAAAACATAGTGGCGTTATTTCTAAGATGTTCCTTTCTGATGGTGCTGGTAGGATGCTTCATAAAAACCCTGCAACGCCCATACCTGAGAGTATACAGTACATCTGTCTAAACGTTTTTTTTGTCCAAAAGTAGGCATAGCTGATGATCGAGTGTTGGCATTTTGCCATATTTGCGTTGTGTTTTAACTACAGCTGTAAAACTCTGTGTAGGAACGTGCTCCACACTGAGTGCGTTCACCAGCTGTGGACTGTCTGGAAGATCACAATTTGCATTTTGTTAAAGATGAGCACCTAATATCAACCCTAGCGCCACTACTTAGTCTATCGATTTAAAAAAAAAAAGTATTCCACATACTTCTGAGGGTGGCTAACAAGGTATTATGTTGTATATCAGTGATCTAGGGCCTAGTGCCACCTGGTGTTTAAAATAAAAACTGACTTTCCCTTTCATTGCTGCAGCAGTGTAGAATTAACAGTTTACAAAAGTAATGCAATATTTAAGTTAATCTGTGAATGCAATACTTATTTACATTTGTTAAATATAATGTAAGTGTTGATGTTTAAGTGAAACATATTTTAAGCCTTACTTTAAAGTCACCAGTATTCATATTTCATTGTGTTTTTCTCCAAATCAATGATGCGTTTTATTAGAGAGGGTGAGTTTTAGGAGTTGTCACTCATCTGTTTCCTGTGTTTCTGCAGATATTTGGCTTTTTGAACTTGATCCTGTGGGCAGGTAACTGCTGGTTCATTTACAAGGAGACTCCTTTCCACAAGGATCCCAACCCACCAGCAACCATGGAGGAAGAAGGGGCCCCCGGGCCTTAGCCACATCACTGAGGGTCCTTAATCATAGCCCTGTGCCCACAGCTTTGTACCCAACACTGGTCTCTGATGGAAACATGCACAAATGGATACAAAAGGAAGGCAATTGTCCCAAATACGCCCCTCGATCTCCCAACACGAGTCAATGTACTAATTTCTTTTATTAATCGGTCCTAACTGTATGTATTTTGGTGTTCAGAACAGCAGAGAAGCTAATGCACACCTGTTGTTCTGTGCAAGAGTCCAGAGTAGGTAAGAGTTTCATTATGTAATCTGTAAGAGGAAGTACAGTACAGATTCCAAGTACTGTAATTCTAAACACGTCAATCACTTGACATCACTTGATTGAAGGTCAATTAAAGTGAATGCTCTTGTTTTCCTCCAGTTAAAGACATGACTGATACCAGAGCATGTCCTCTTTTCTCTCTTCTGAACTCTGCCTACAGCTAAATTAAACGCTTTGCAAAATTCCCACTAATGTTCTGATCTACTGACACACACACACACACACACACACACACACACACACACACACACAGGTGTTCAAGTTTCAACACACTCTGATTCTCTTGTGCCTTAAAAGAATGCACTAAGTAAAAAGAATAACACTACAATCTACTGCACTTTTATTGTGAAAGTGTCATTTTGAGTTTCATGTTGGTTGTGACAGCATTTGTGACAGTTATGTTTTATTTTTCCAGAACAAGGCAGGTTCTCTGCATGATTACTGCTGCAGCTGTACATGCCTTCCCAGTGGAGGGACCTGTTTCATTTCTTGTTTGATCAACATGTTACATTTACACTACTCCATAACACCAATGCTCTTTTTGAACCATCTTTTGCAAAACGGACTTGCAGAGACATTATTTATAGGCTTCATATGTATTTTAAACTACATTTATTGGTTCCGTGGCATATTTTAGAACCAATGTTGGGTTTCTGTTCGTATTCCCCAATGAAAAAGTGTTAGTGTAAAGCTTCTCCTTGATTTATTTTTGTAATGTCAGATTTGTTGTTAAACATATTCTACCACAGAGTAGCTTTGGCTTAATCGTGTGATGATAAATAGTTCAAATAGCAATTGTGGCAAATTGTGTAATTCTATTGACCTGTGCCCATATTGCTGCTCTACATGTAACTTTACCACCAATGCCTTCCACTACAGGCTGCTGTAGTGACCTGCTACAGTGGATGACATGGCATTGCACTAAGAGAATGTAGTGATCTCTATGAAGTCACTGTTACTGGGCAACCTGTGCAGCAAGTCATATATCTTCCACATCATATTGAAATTTGACACATTAGTGAAATGCTTGATAATTTTAGTTTAATTAGAGCACAATAATATGTTGAATGCTTACATAATGGATTATTAAATTTGGGCTTCATGTATTTTATACCTTGTTGTGCAAAAGGAAACAATGGTGCATCTGTATTTACAAGTGTAAAACATGAGAGCTGTAACTTCTGGACTCTGTCTCCTTTTCTTAATGACTTTGCAAAAATGGTTTGATGAATTTGTACACCCACCCTCATGCTTTACAGACATTATAGCATCTTTACAGTTAGTCTGCTATACGTTTTTGTAGAAACTAACATCCTGCTTAACCCTTGTGTGGTGTTCCTATTGTGTTACTCAGCCAGTGTTCGTGGGTCTGGTGGACCCGCTGCCTTTCTGGGCTTCCATTCAACACTATCAAACTATTTTTTTTACTTCATCTCAATTACAAGCAATATAAACAGCATAGATGGTTCATATTTGCCCTTTTACATTTGTTAGATCGCATTAATGAATTAAAGTGCTACTCGTTTTTTTGCCCGCTGACCGGCTGGTCCTGTGGCTCGTCTTTTCTTTGTAACTAGCTGATGCTCAATCTCGTCCTCTTCTTCAAAGTCACTGTCAGACTCAGAACTCTCAGAAATGTGATCCTCACGTTCTGAAACCTCTTCCTCTACATCATCATCATCAAATGGTTCTCTCTCTTCCAGAATCATTTACAAGGCCCTCTGAGCAGAGAATCTGTTGGCCATCTTGATCAGCTGTGATAAGGACCCAAACTGAAGAAGCTTTATTTATTGCGTCTTGCCCCAAATGTGCAGCTTGGATAGAGTGGGAAGAAAATAAAGAGTGGTTCCCGCAAAACATAATGCGGGAATGTGAGAGCAGAAAGGTGTCGGTGCTTGAATTGATCAACAATGTTGCAACCTTGTGCGGGAATGGCGGGGGCAAAAACACAAAAGTCTCACACACACACACACACACACAGAAGGCCCAGACAGGTGCACACAACCTACAATTTCCACACTTTAGTTAGCCCCGGGTCCAGTGAACATCCTGTATATGTAATATAAATGTGTAGGGGGGGTGTACAGTGGGTGGGCATTGTAAATATGTTCTGATATATGTTCTTCACCGAAAATGAGCCAAGGCCATTGAGTGTGAGTTTGAAAAAATAATTTATCATATCATTTTTCTTTAACTAAATAATGATAACGGGTCCCACAGACCCGAATACCATACAAGGGTTAAACAGATGTGATCCAAAGTGAGCGGATTCATTCAGATTATGTTGGTAAAAAAGTGTCTTCGTCAAATAATGCTGGGGCGCCACATTCAAAAATGTAATCGGTAGTGATTTCAGTTTCCTGGATTTTGAATCAGATGTCAGCACTACTCTGGGTCAGTGGTTGGCATATAGAAAGAGGCGGTGGCTGACTCATCCAGAGCTCTGCCTCAGCAGCACTCCTCTCTCCCACCAGCAGGGAGTACTGTTTACAACTGGATGGTACTATACAAAACAGCCATGCAGGTCACCTTTAACTAGAAGTATGCCTTAAAGAACCAAACTTGATATAGGCGTACTCAGCGCCATATAGATATACGGCTCTGGGCGTACTAAGGTAAAGAAGAAGAACCTCAGTTGAGTGCAGTTTTTGAGTAAATCTGCAGTAACCTTCCACCACTGATACTTTGGCCAGTGCATTGGTTATATGAAGTACATTAAATGCAATAAGCACAACCAAACTCAATCGACCTGAGGGCAGGGGACCGAGTTTGTACAGCATGTTATCTATCGACTGCAGTTCAACTATAAAACACTTGAAAAAATAAATAGTGGGTTAAGAACTAAAGACCGTAATTTAGGATGCTCCAATGGTTTCCAGTTACAGTTTAATTTATTAAATTGTTTAGCATTTTAAGAGATGATATGATATAAATAGTCTGTATGCAATCCCATCTGTATTGTTTTCAGCTGGGTCATTTTATTTCCTATTTCTGTTAACATTATATGGATGTCCCTCCACCACGATATCCAGTCATCGATAGAAATGTCTTTCCAGCCTCTTTGATATCTGATCTTGATCAAACGGTTCCTTACATCAGTGATGAGATAGGGAGAACATTAAAACAAGGTCTTTTTCATTTGAACATGCCTCCAATCATTATCTTTTAGCTGTTATCGCTAATTAAGATTGGTTATTTTTCGTCATAGATTTTTTGAGAAAGTGACATGTTTAATCACCAATGGCAGATGCCCTTAGTTTGATGATGTGATGTGTGATGACAGTACAAGAGTGCTAACTCATGCACAGTGTAAATGTGATGTGCAGTTCTCCTATATCACGTCTTCACAGCACGGTGTTTCAGCGCCGCTCTGCTCTGTGAAGCTTAATCTCCTGCAGGGATTAGAAAGGTGTGTTCACGTGTGTGATTTTTGATCACTTAAAGGTCCCATGTCATGCTTTTCCGGTTATTACCCGTCCCCTTGTGTGTTATGAAGGTTTCTATGCATGTAAACGGTCTGCAAAGTCACAAACCCTCAAAGTACACCCTGTAGCGAGTAAAACTCTAACAGAAAATACGTGTCTATGCTGCCCCAGAACGCCTCGTTGGAGATTTTCTTTTTCAATTTTTATCTTCCGGGAACCAAGTGACGTAACGACGACCCCTCCATGGATTGGTCCAAATGGACCAATCCGTGGAGCCGTTACGTTACATCCGCGGAGCCGTTACGTTAAGTCCGCGGATTGGTCCAAATGGACCAATCCGCGGACTTCCTCACACACACACACTCAATCTTTTCTCAGCTGCAGCTCCGCCGATTTCTCCTCCCTGAGACGGCGGGACGCGGCGAGGCTGTGAGTCTGTGTGTGAGCACACACACAAACTCCCAACCAGGCTGCGGGTGTGTGTGTGTGTTCGGGCTGGTTTCGGGCTGGGTTTCGCTGTGTCTCGCTGTCTCGCAGACGGCCACTGGGCTCACAGGGAGGGGGGGGGGCAGGAGCTCCAACAAGCCGTGTAGGACAGAGAGTGAATACACATACTATACAGAGATGCTGTATGAGAAACCAATGCGATTTTGGAGAATTGCACAATATAAATCTTTTTTAGTATACCTCAACAATGGAATTATGATCAGTAGAAATGGCCATGACATGGGACCTTTAAAAAGATGCTCTCCGTTTTGTTTTCTCTAACAGTTAACTGTATAGTGTTTGTCCTGTGCAGAACATATACGCAGACATTTACAAAAGTGGGCCTATCATGCCAATGATGATTAATGATTAATGATGATTAATAACAGTAAACATTCTGTCTGAAGCAGGAGAAGTTTACACAGTGTTTGAGCATTTAAAAGTTCACTTGCACTGCTGTTAAATATAGAGCCAGGTCCTCAGAGGAGGATGCAGCTCCTGTACATTTATGACGGGGGCATTGGCAGTCAGAATAAATCTCTATTCACGTCACATACATTTATGTCAGTGTCAGATCTTTATGCTAATTTAGGGCTGCAGTTGGTGGTAGTGATGTAATCTGCCATTCTGATTGTAGAGGGGTATTCTTTTTTTTTTTAGACTGTTATAGACATACAAGGAAGAATTGTTAGAAACATTTCCATTTTGTATACAGTCGCACAGAACATCACTGGAAGAAAAACGTAGCATGAAGAATGTGAGCAAAAGGAATCTTCTGCAACCTCCAAGTTCAGAGGGCAGAGCTATCTGTGAAATGACTTAATTATATTTGTAGCTAATGTTGATGCTATCGCCTATATAAGGACCCTGTATAGTTTTAAGACCATAACCTTTGTTAGTGCTCAGATTCTGCATCCTCCTTTAATGTGTCTATTACCGTGGTCACATTTCCCCAGATATTTGTGTATCTTATAAAAGCTGTTTTGTGTCTATATTCACTTTGCATAACATCTGTTGGATTTCAATATTTGAATAATGAAGTTGGCTTATCCAAACTTCCTGTTATGTTTGATTTTTTCTTTATGTAAGAGAGAGGACCCCACACCTCAGTGCCACCGCGAAGAATCGGTTCTATTATAGATTCCAGATTTGAATGTAAAATTGACCTTTTATTTCACAAAATGCCCTGTGTGCTTTCCAGTGCTGCAGCAGGTCAAGGTTCTGCAGGAGACAGCAGAACCAGGTCCTCTGTAGAGCAGGAGTTGGATCTGGTGTCGAGTGAGGCAGGTGGACCAAGGTACGTTCTATTTCGTATAAGGCTTCGCCCTCTAAGGCTATCGCTATTGGGTAATCCCACTGCACGTGTGCAGCACTGACAGACTTAATCCACGCCCACCTATGACGTGGGCCCCACCTACGGCCTCACTTCCGTATAAATAGGAAGTAGGCCCGACCATCTGCTCCCATTTTTCTTCAGCACTCCGTTGCAGAAGCACTGGCCCTCTGGCCCACAGACAGCGGAGAGAGGACGCTCTCGCTGCTGCGGCCGAGGATGATTAGCTAGTCCAGGAGTCTTACTCCGTGGACCAAGACCTTGATTTATGGGATCCGAGTGGCGGGCAGCAGTCAGGCGACTCCTTCCCCTCCATTCACGGATCACCATGGGGTTCCCCCGGCCCCATCCTCCCTCTCCTCCGGACGGGGGAGACAGGGCGGGGGCTCGGTGTCAGCCCGACATATGAGTTACGACCGGCTGTGGCTGGCTCGCTCCAGGGAGAAAGGAAGCGGCTTTACACAGACGATACAGGTAAGTACTGCCGGGGATGGGAGCACACAAATGCGGCTCTCACTCCCCAGGTGTCGTGCACTCATTGTGTCCGTCTCCCTCTGGCCCACAGACAGCAGAGAGCGGACGCTCTCGCGGCTGCGGCTGAGGATGATTGGCTAGTCCAGGAGTCTTACTCTGTGGATCAAGCCCTTGATTTATTGGATCCGAGTGGCGGGCAGCAGTCAGAACAACTTCTTCCCCTCCATTCACGGATCACCATGTGGTTCCCCCGGCCCCATCCTCCCTCTCCTCCGGACGGGGGAGACTGTCAGCCCGACAGCCGAGCCTATGGGTTCGGCTGCCGGGCTGACACCGGGTCACCGGGTCCCTCTATCCGCCATCTCGGCTCTGCCGTATAGGCGGTATTCTCCAGGAACTCCCGGAGATCATCGGAAAGGCAGCCGCCTAATGAGATCTCCCCGTTCCCCCGGTTCAGGAGAGCTCTCC